GGGATGACAGAAATAACGTGGCCGGCTATCAACAGATCGAATGACGTTCCAGAGGAGCTGCATCGATCTTGAAACCGTTCAATCCCTTCGGTGTTACGCTTTCTTCGTTTCTTTCGAGTTCCTTCCTCGCGACAAAAGACACCCTTAAGCCGTGGTTAAGTGCGATTTGACGTTTCGCGGAATTGCCGTGTAAAACGCGATGGATAACGACAAACGAGAGCGGAGGAATCGGCCGGAAGTTCAATATGCGATCCGCTGTCACGATAGTAAAGGCTAGTAATTACGTGGCACGGTAATAAACCGACGGCGGTCTGCCCTGGTCGAGAGGTCGTAAAACGTTACCTGTTAATGAAATAATTAAACGGTCGTGGTGCTTCAATCTGCGGCGCCCATTGGTCGAACCTGGCACCCGGCTTCCTGTCGTCGGCCAGCGCCGATAACGTGCTTTTTGGTTAGATTGACGTTTATTACAGGAAGACGGGAAACAGGGGTTCGGTTACACGGAAGAACCGTTCGATGGAGTGGATAGGTTCTTGTTATAGCGGGTCGTAAATGCGCCAGTGCTTATTTCCCATCGACCGAGTTGAAAGTTAATATCGAATCTGCCTGCCACTCCGCCATCTAAAGCGATGTACAACAAAATGGCGGCCGCCTCGCGTGCGCTCGCCGCTAATGGAATTGCGCGCGGAATATTCGGGGGCTAATCTTCTCGACTTGTCCACGGATTATATAACAATTTGTGTGGCGAATAAATTTGCGAAAGGTGCGAATTAACATTGATCGATGCTAATGAAATTCGACGAATAACAAAATGGCGCCCGTTTCGCGCGCGTTTGGTACTTACCAATGAAATCGAGTGTAAAATATTCAGAAATTCAGGGATATTCGACGTGCGACCTACCCGTGAATAATAAATGATTCTCCGAAAAATGAAAATTATAATTAATCGACGCTATATAAATTCGGTGCATAACAAAATGGATGCCGTTTCGCGCGCGCTCGCTGCTAATGGATTGCGCGCGGAATATTCGGGGGCTAATCTTCTGCAGTCTTTCCAGCGATTATATAACACTCTGCGTGACAAATAAATTTACAAAAGGTGCGAATTAAAATTGATCGATACCAGTGTAATTCGATGACTGACAATATGGCGTCCGTTTCGCGCGTGTATATTATTTATTAATGAAATTGAATGTAAAATATTTGGAAATGCGGAGATATTCGTTGCGTAACTTCCCAATTGGATAATGATAAGTAAAGCTATAGCAGTGTAAATTGAAATTAATCGATGGTCTGTACTATTCAACGAATAACAAGACGGTGGCTGTATCGCGTGTGCTCGCTGTTAATGGAATTGCGCGTGGAATATTCAAAAGCTGATGTTCTCGAATTTTTCCAGCAATCGTGTAGTCCCGTCGACGATAATAAATAAATCTACGAAAAGTGAAAATGAAAATTAATCGACGCGAAATAAAGTCGATGCATAACAAAATGGCTTTCGCTTCGCGTGCAGTCGCCACCGACAGAATATATTCCTATACTACTAGCGTAATATATTCGAAAAATTCGGATATTCGTCGCGTAGTTTCCACCCCGTTGATAAATAATTCCATATAACGTATAAATGGAGATTAATCGATATTAAAAAATTCGGTGGACGGAGGGAAGGTTGATTAAAATGGAATAGGTACCGAAACAAACGAAGAACGATGAATTCTGAGAGTTTGTCGTTCCCGTTAAGCGGAACGGGGAGAGAAAAATCGGAATTTTCGCGGAGCGAAACATTTCGGTTAAATCCATAGCTGGAGCATTTGGCTGAACGAGGCAGTTTACGCGACGACCGGATGTTTATAAAATTCATTACTTGTCGTTAAACAGGGGAGCCGGCAGCTTCGATAACGCGGTAGTTTTATTATCGCGTGGCAATGTGGAGAATTATTATTTTTCCATGGAAATCAAGCGTGTTTTCAGGCTGGAAATACTCGCTGAAAATTCCACGCGACAGCCGATACATCGGGTAACACGTTGCGTGGTAATTAATTACGCGTATTTTGGCAAGCCGCGCTTATTCCGAGTGTTCTCGAATGAAACATCGGGCATACGTGTATCGAAGATAATGCATGTCATTCGATATCCGCCCGCGTCATTAAATTCGTGTTCTTCGGCGAACTGGCGAACATTTCTTTTGTTCGCGGGGCGTTGTTCAACATTGACGCAACGTTTGTCGATAGCCGATAACGCGCGATGCAGGAATTAATTCACACGGAAAATCGGTATAGCTATCCTGGAAAGACCGTAAAAGCTTTGGGCAAGACTGGTTCATTGCGAAGCTTTTAAATGGTTAACAGAAGGGAAATGGTCATTGAAACGGTATAACAATTATAATTAACGGGGCAGAGTTTCGTGGGTAACGAGGAACAGGTTTGAAAGAGAACTATTGGATAATAGAGGATAATGCAGCTTTGGATAATGTTATAATTCCTTTTATCCGTAGAAGCATGTGGCTGCGCGTGTGTTCTCGTATAAGTGGCGATACATAGGCGAATAATTCGACTGGAACGTTACAATTTATATTTTTTATTTATTTGTCTACTGACCTATCATATGGCATTTCGAAACATGTACTTTATTAACTATGCCTTCTTACGAATAGTATAAAATTTCAAACTTCACATTTCCACGAACTTCGAGAGAAATTGTCCATGGTGGTTCAAACCCTTCCATTTATCAGCATAAGAAAGTTATAAATTGAGAAAAATTGCATATCGAATTAATATATTGTGTCAGAAATTTGCATTCTATTAATTTTCGTAATTCACGTAGAAAATTAATCTTTTACCGTCTATTCCTTTCCAGTAGTACTCAAAGATCGGCTCTCAAAAATTATTTACACTCAAATGACTGCAACCCCTTAATATCAGTTCTTTATCAGTCTTCGATCTTCCTAGCATCCAAACAGCAGTTGATAAAAATTACTCGACAATCCATTTATACATTTATTATTGTCCATCGCTGTAATGCAAATTTTATTTTTATTTTCCCAAATGACCATCACCCTCAATAAATCCTTATAATCTTCGACTCTTCCAGTACCCAAAATATCTGCACGTCGATTAAAATTGAATTATCAAAAAATTAATGTACCCTGATATAAAAGCTTCTTTAATTTATCCAAACAAACTTACCTTTCGTTGATCTTCCCTTCTGCGACAGGATTATCACCCAGCAAACCGTACATGAAATTTATCCAGTGATCCACTCACGCAGACACCATCGCAAATTCTTTTCATTCGTTCAGACGACCGTCACTTTTGGCAAATCTCCCGAGATATATACTCCTCTTGCCGCTGCATGCATGAGCGCGCGCCATTGCGGCGCGGATGCGCGAGAGTGCAGGAAACTTGAAATTCCCCGCGTGGCACGGTGTAATTACCCTTACGCAACATAATTATGCTCGAAACTTGGGCCGCGTTATTCTGCCCGGGCGGCGTCGCGACGCCGGGACGGTAACGAGTCGCGTCTGAAGGAATCCCGACCGACTGCGTACTCGTAATACGATTGTTCGCGCGTAAGAAACAGCTAGATGTCGGACCCCGGATGGTTACTGGGGCGGCGCGAAACTTTCGCGGATGAAATTGTATCAGGCTAACGAACTTCCGATAAATTAGCCTTCGAGCGCCGTTTCGCGTGTAACTGGCAAATTCGTTCGCGCGAAACTCGTATAAAGCTTAATAAGCGGAAAATGTTGGGCAAAATCGATTAACTGGTACATCGAGCCTTCGTTTGCGTTTGTTTTTCCTCTGTAACTTTTCCTGCCTTCTTCGCTGAAATTTCTGCGAGCTTGGAATTTCGCGAGTGCAAGATTAAAATTGTGAAATTTCTTTTCGGTGATTCATGCTGATCGTGAAATCGAAGATCTCGTGGTATTTAATTGAAGAATATTGGGAGGGAGAGGGTCAATTTGCGACACGAAAGGTGAACTAACGTCAACGTTGTTCAATGATCATCATAATCATTCGGTATTTTTACGTTGAGGTCACTGGAAGTTGTTTGAAGATTATTATAAAATCATTTCGATTTTTAGTTAGGTATTATTATTTTTTATACGATATTTTAATGCGTTTATAATTTAATTTGGGGGAGGTTAACATTGTGAAATTCTCTGAAAAATAAGAATTTCACATGATTAAGGGGGTATTTTACTCTGAACTTTTGGAAAAATCAATTTCTTTTTTTTTTCTTTTTTCTTTTGGCATACTCTTAAGAGATATATTTTCGAAAATTATTTTTTGTGTCTTCACGTGCGAATTTCTAAAATTAACGAAGTTATTGTTGTTTGAAGGGCGTGACACCATCATGCGAGTACGTCGGCCGAAAAATTGCAGAACAGGCCAGATGACAACGCTGTTGCATCAAGCAATTTCGGCCACTGCGTTTTGAATTTTATTGCTGTTTCTTCAAGAATAGCATCTCGCATTACGTGCAAAAGTAATATTCGCTTTGCTCGAAACAGCAATCGCGGCTTTGGATTTAAAATTTGGACGGTGTGCAAGTGCGGACTGAAATTTGTGGATTCATGTCTCTTAATCGACAATCCATTCGAAGTAAATCGTAAAATTTTATTTATTATGCGGCTTTTCGGAATTCGAACAGAAAGAATAAATTTATTTTGCGGTCTTATAGATATTAGCCAGGGATTGGCTATCAACACGTACTATACTCGTCTCGAACATTTACACAGTGCAGCATCAGCGGTGTATAAATGGGTGTTTTTGCGAGCTGCAGAAGAGGAAAGAAGACATTATGTAGAAGCTAGACAGTGACCAGAACATCTCACCTTTTCAGGGGACGGAACCCTAAACGGAAGCCCACAATAATAATGAATCCCTCGATTCGTTAGTTTGGACTTTTGCGCCTAAACATATTCGTTATGCACGACCAAGCATTGAAATATCGACATTCCTGGCTGTAAATATATTTTATAAAGGTTTCTCGAGCATCTTAACTTTACTGTTCAAAATGTCCATAACCATTGGACAACAAGCTACGCAAACGCTCGAGACAAGCATGGGATCGATTAATCGAAAGGTTGCTGGACAGAAGCTGTAAAGGGATCTCGAATCGATAAGAGAGCAGCAGAATAAGGACATTTTCGAGTAAGAAGAAGGTCCTCCACATAGTTCCAAGCTGGCAGATTAGCTGTAAGTATGATTTTCGTTATATGAATAATTATTATCCATGTACTAAACTTTAAAGGCATTTCTCCGGAAACTATGTTTTGCAGATCGGTGTCCACGATATCTCAAAATTTACTCAACCTATTTAAATCTAATTGCCTTATAATTTTAAGTATGCATTTAGTACACGTGCGAGTATGACCCCTATTAGAATCAACCACATTTTTTAATTTTTTTTTTTTTTTTTTTTTTTTTTTTTTTTTTTGTATCTTTTAGGGCTTTGAAGTTTAGTAAAATGTAGAGAAATCGATAATTGAACTTTAAAGTATCGCAACCTTTTTAGTTAGCGACTTTTTGCTTTCGTTTTATTCTCTGCTATAGCCAAATTCATACCGATGAAAGAACTTACACATTTTTCTTTTATTTCAGACAAGCAGAATAGCCGGAATCATGGACACCGTGAGACGACCTCTTTTGAAAGCGACTATGTTTGAGAATATACAGTGCCACTAATTTTAAATTCTTTTGTTCCAAAAAATTGTAAGACGTCGTTGAAATATGTACAAATAAACTCCGCCAATTTCACTGCAAGAGGTATAATAGTTTCCCTGCAAAAATTTCCCTAACAATGTTCTTCACACTAGAGTACCCGCTTTGTGGAAGAATACTTAATCGTCGTTTTATGTTAGGTAGGCTGAATCAAGGTCATCGAAGATCGCAAGATTGTAGGAAATTTTTTAAAACAGACGTCGAATAACGTTCGTCGAAGTTTCATATTTCGATCGAAATATCACTTACGTGAATTTATGGTTTCTACAAATATTGGCTAATTTGAATTTTGTACAAAGCACGCTGTAATGGATCTCGATGTAATCACGTAAAGCGGATACTCGCTGCACTTGATGTTTGCTCTGAATTATTAATATCTGCTGATGGGTACTGGTTTGCCAGTTATCAAGGATAACAATATGGACACAAAGCTGGGGATAGACATACGAAAATCGCAATACAAACTTATTTCGAAACAAATTTTTATTTTCCAAGCTGACGAATGATCATAGCGAAATATTCATCCAAGAAATCTTTTCGACTGTTTACACCGTTCTTCCATTCAAACATAACGATTTTCACTTTTCAAAGTTCACCCACAAATTGCCAAACGAAGAATTAGAGAATCAGGTTAATTTCGGCAACGAGAATTATATCGAACGAAGTTTGTTCAGAAGCGAAATTAAGAAATAGAGGAAAATGGTGGAAAAATTTCTGAATTCAGCTCGCTCCGCCAAAAAACTCGCCATTAATATCTCAGCCAAAGTCTTTTCTCTTAGACTCCCCTTTCAGAAACCCTATTTTCCTTGCTGGAACGAAACTTTCGAGCGAACGAGGCGGACAATCTCGAGTTTCCTTTCACCGAGACACTTTTCCTACGTGCCACCTATTTTTTACCAAGAGTAAACGCGTGTCATCTATTTATATCCAGCGACATGTTCGATATTTCCTTCTCCATGATCCCTCGACTTTCCAATAACACTCTTCAACGCGAATTTTAATCTGCAATATCCATTGAGTATTTCTCCTACAGTCTACTTTCCTGAAGGTGAATCTATAATAGAAATTGCTCTGTCACCTTCAGTTTCCGAAAATTATGCGGTTTTTTCTAAAAACGTACGATCTTTGGCTAAAATGAAGCGTTGCATAAAAGGTAACGAGATTGGTAGATTCATTCTCACCTTTAAACTTAGGTCCCTATCCTCTACCAGCGTTCAAGATTGCGAAACGGAGCGCGAGTCGTTGCACAGATCGCAGGAGCTACTCAGTGATCCAGAGGATGTCTGGCGATGATCCTTCAGGTTATTTAGCGAATCTAAAATTCACGCGATACAAGTGTCAGACGAGCCAAGAGACACCTGAAACGCAGCCATCGGATGCACCCAGCCCTCTATCGCGATTCGGTCGTATCGACGTTTACGATGGCTGCCGCGTCGTTTCCCGCAGAACGACAGTGTTTCTCGATAAAGTGCCACTCCCGGTGACGAATCCTCGTCACCGAGACGAACATCCAACGACGTGGCCTGGTTTCTGATGCTGCGAGCTTCGTCTCCGTCAGGTGGACAGGATATCAAGGGTAGCGGGACATTATGAGACTCGTAAATCGTTCCTTGGATCAGAGAACTCGTACCAAAACGGAATTAAACATCGAGAAGAATCTGTCCTAACGCCGAATCTTCCTAGTCGAGTTTGAAATTCGTTTATTTGTTATCTATATGATTCTAGAACACTCGTGTCACCTGGACACCACGTGCGTCAGTCATTTTCGAAATTTTAAATCCCTAACCATGTTTAGATCACTTGCAAATTACAAATGGATCATGAGAATCCTCCTATTTTCATTGTTGTCGTTTATACTGGAGCAGTGCGAGGGAAAACACATTCTCCTAGGTTGTTCCATATGGAGGCCAAATCTCCATCCTGGCTATTTAAAATTCAACCTGTGCTCCATCGTTTATGTAAAATCTTTTTCGTATTCATTCGTCAAGGACCTAGCCTGGCCACTGGGTAAAGCTAGCAATAAAACTTGTTGGAGTACAACGACTCTAGTTCATACAGGCCGATGTGGACCTGTCAGAGGTCTCTACCTCAGGGACGTGGTCGTATCTGCTCTTCTATTCCACCACTTTTCGCATACAGATGCGATCGTGGAGTTTTTCCTGTTTCCCTTTCTTGTTCAGTTTATTGCCAACACCCGTGACATAGAGTGTAGTAATTCGTATAGTAATAAACATAGTACAGACCGATGTGGACCAGTCAGAAGTCGCTACCTGAGGGACATAGTCATATCTGGGCTTCTATATTTCCACCACTTTTCGCATACAGAAGCGATCGTGAGGTTTTTCCTGTTTTTCCTTTTGCTGAGTTCTGCATCAGCACCTGTGACATAGAGTACAGTAATTCTTATAGTAATAAATATAGTCCTGTAATTGTTTGTGACACACTTGTCTCTCCTACCTTCCCTTGTAAACTACCTATCCCTGATGTGTCAAGTGCGATTAGACCGCATCCTCGACCCTGTTACGTCAATAGAACGGGATCTACAACCCCGCAGAACTCTAGTCAAAGGAGTTGGCAGTATTGGAGACGCAACAGAGTCTTCTTGACCTTTTATTCGATAGAAAAACCCATTGAAATCGTGGAGAGAACACTCGAGTCAAGGAGAAAACGAACGAGACTCGAATTAGGTCCGTTGGAGTCGCGAAAGGGTTTATGGACGCGGCGCAATGGCTAAGGGACATCTCGGTTTGATGTAGCCGAAGTTAGTGCAAGGATGATAATCGACGTTAGGATGATCGTAACTTTTCATTGGAAGAGAAGGTTAACGTAATGCCGGTGGCCCGATCGGTGGAGATTGGATAAGCGTAACGATGATGGATCTTCATTTTGAATTTGCTGCAGGGATCCAGGTGTAATCGGATCTGTCCGAGATAGAATCGACGTCGTTCTTAATTTCAGTTCTCCCGAGTAATTCCGTTCTTCATCGTCCTTCGACTTGTCCCGGAACTCTGTTATGTCGATTTCAACGGGGGTTGATATTCAACCCCTTCCGATGCTTTCGTGATTCTCTGAATAATTTCATACTTGGAAAAGAAGGTAGGGTTGTAATGGTTTAGGTTCTCTAGTTTAATAAACTTATGTCTACGATATACTCTGATTTCGGGAATTCTTTAACCATCTCGCTGCGGACAGCGCCTGTAGGAGCTCAACCAGAGTTGCTCCCTTCGAGCAAACGGACTCCCTTTAGGCGTAGTGCGTCCTTATCAGTTCCTAACTCACACCGTGTTCATCGTGTCGATCTCCCATTGTCATACCGTTTGCCCAGAGAGCAATTCATTTCTCATTCATTTCTCATTCATTTCTCATTCATTTCTCATTCATTTCTCATTCATTTCTCTTCATTTTACCTCGCAAGAATTATTTAAGGAATTCTCTTTTTTCCTTCGTTTATTCTTTATTAGAAGCATCGATCTCGTGTTTGGTATCGCGACAATTGTAATTTTTATTTTCTTAGGTATACGTGATCAGTTTCTTTATATTTTTTATTTATAATATTTATTAATAGTATTTATTAATTTTGAATGTTTATTAAAATTGTACAGACAGTGGTATATAATCGAGTTGTATTTGAAATCTGTTTGAAATTCGAAGGTTCTGAAATGTGTTACATGGTAGGTTACTATGGATGTGAATTTTCGTCGATGTCTTCTGTCTCAGTTGCGTGTTGTTCTTTGACGCGTTCGGACGCAGTGGCTCGACGTGCTTCGACGTAAATATTTGAGGTTGCTGTTGATTATGGCACGCACCATTGCAAGTCAAACTGTAAGGTGAGAGGTTAATCATCTTCCTTTTTCATTTTTAATTATTATCGTTTTATGCTCGTATTATTACGCTTTACGTCCAACATTCTATAGTAATTTTAAGTAATTTCGTGTTATGGTGTTCGGTCAAAAATTTTTCCCACGTAGTAATAGTAATTCGAGAAAGAAAATTGCAATTGCATCGATTAATACTATAATTACTGAAATGGTCAAACTGACTCGTTTCGGATATCTTAATTTTATAAGTTTTGAGAATATATAAACAGCTTTTGACAAAATTTGTTTTTACTTTTACTTATGTCCAAAGATAATTGTTTATAGTTATTTGTCTACCTCGTACCGCTGCGATTATCTTCATTTGTGTATAATATATTTGATTACTTTTTATTGGTCGGTAGTTCTAGTATTAAACTCGTATCAACGACGACGTTAAATGAAAATGTTTATTCTTGTAAATTGTATCGCGTTTCTCTCTCCGTGAAAGCTCGACGGGAGGAAATAAAAACGGCGGAAACATTGGCGAAATATTTGCAAAATTACGTACGCATGCGCAGACCTTCAGCCCTCAGCGACGTATCTGCATATCAACGTGGTACTCTGCTTGAGATTCTCCGCGTGGCTCGACATAGTTACTGGCTGCACACGGAACTTCATCCACATTCGGGTGTGCCTCCGACGTCGTCGCTACCCCTTGCGTTGGTGGCAACGACGCGCATCGGGACGCCTCCAACGAGTCTAAGAACGTGTCCATACCTTGCCACCCGTATACCATTTTACACAGAATTCCTCCGATCTGCATGCACTTTTCTT